CCCCCCCCCCCCCCCCCCCTTTCGTGATAATCACGACCATCTTCCATTTCTCGCTTCTCTGTCTACATCTATCCTGCATCATCACTCGCGTCTTCTACTCTGCTCATCCCTTTCTCTCTCTTATTTTTCTTCCCCCACAAAATTGGTGCTCGCCGACCCGTGAGGTATGGTCTTTTAATTGGTCATTTTCTCGTCCTTGGGTGGTCGGTTACTACGAGAACTGGGCGAGAGAGAGGGAGAGAATAATTAGGATGAAGAGGAGAGAAGGAGGGGAGGACGGGCGGAGGGAATCCCGAAAGTACTTCCGTACTTACGGAATTTGCTTATGGAAAACTTGAGGACTTTCAAACGGAAGAGAAAAAGGCAAAGGATCAGCGACGGGTGCGTCCCGGAAATCAGATAGTCGTGGGAACGTTCCAAGCAGTTACGTTTCGCGAGTAAATAAACGCACATGCGTCCTGTGCTCCCCGAAATCCGAGACAGATGGAGACGGATTTTCAATTTTCGACGCGGCCAACATTCCCGGAAGGAATTTTCATATTGCCGAATATCTTGGGAGTTCCCGAAGGATGCCAGCCCTGGTCTTTCGAGATGAAGTAAGACGAGACATCGCATCGTAGACAAATTCCAATTGCAGGACCCGAAGAGGTCCTTCGCGATCACTTCCCTGCCCACCGGCCGCTTCTTCCTTCTCGAGCCTTCGGTTCTCCCTCCTCAGGTCGCAAGGGAGACCATGACTGCTGCATCCAATAGCCATTCGCGATTGAATCCTCGACGCCGGCGGTTCGATTGACTCGGCCCAGGACGAAGGATCTAACCAGCACCCTCTAAATCCCCGAGAAATCTTATTTTTCTCAAAGAATTTTCCGACCCTCCCTTGTGCTTCTTTCCTCTTTGGATTTTCATGGCTTCTTCTTCCTCTCTCACATCTTCAGACCCTCCTACTCCTTTGATTTCCGCCTTTTCTCTGGCTCCTTTTACTACTTCAGTGGATTCCGGTGCACACTTCGCGTGATACGTGATACGTGATACGTGAATTTATGCGAATGACCCCCCCACTCGTCGCCGCTCCTGCCCCATCCCTCCTCCGGCTGCTGCCCGGCTGGGCGAGCAGCAAGAGACCAGCGGTCACTCCTAGTTTTCAAGGATTCCTACAGTTTGTTAACTCGGAGGGTGCAGCCGTCGTGTTGAGCATTAAGCGTGGATTAAGTCCTTCTTAAAAGGATCGTTTAAGCTCGGAGCTTAGCGCACGCCGAGGCCTAATTTACGGGACGAGGGTTACAAGTTGGTAGCTACGTAATTGCGTCAGCCTGTGAGGCTTGTTTGAGGGACACTCGGAAAATGCCCTCTCTGAATTTGCCTTGGTCACTGTGGTGGCAGCGCCCCCTGGCGTCAATGCTGCCACGCCGAAAAACCCGAGCCTAAAATGGATTCGACTTTTCTATCGCAAAGCGCTGCTAATCTGGTATCAAAAAGTTTTCTTTTTCTGGACCCGACGAAAAAGCGCGAACCTGCTCGAGTATCTATCGGAACGATCTTCGATATCGGACAACGATATAAACACAGTGGACGCTGGAAATTGTGGAAGATTGGCAGGAAACTGCAGCGCTGAGATCCCGTGAGCCTAATCGCGAGCAAGAATAACTTGATTCGACTTTGCAGCCCTCGCACGCAACTGCCACATTGCCACATTGAGAACATTAAGCGCACAGCGTATCCCGGCCTACGATAGCACTGTAGGTACAGTTGCCAGAACTGCTAGACCACAGCTGCCATAATTACTCGACAGAGGCGAGAATGCAGGCTGGCGTGTCCACATTAATTATTCCCGGTAGGCCAGTAGGTCTCGGCCTGCTTTACTATATTTTTTCATGACTCCGTCCCTCACTGACGCCAATCCCTCGCGGTACAGCCCAGCTAAGTAACATTGTTTCCACTAGGTGGCTTTGAGGACGAAGCATTGGCTTGTATGCAAATGGCCCGTTCTACGCAACTGTTAAGCTTCGCCGAGATTAAATTCAAATTTCTGTGCGCCCTCGCAGGATTATTCGAATGCCTTATCGTGGCTGAAACAGGCCGAAACTTTCGACGTGCCAGTGCGTACGTAATTCGAATGCCTTATCGTGGCTGAAACAGGCCGAAACTTTCGACGTGCCAGTGCGTACGTAAGAGAGAGAGGGAGAGGGAGAGAGAGAGAGAGGGAGAGGGAGAGGGAGAGGGAGAGGTACACACTAGCGTAAAGAACACGCAGTCAAAGATTCGAAGCGAAACGTAAAAGTTCTCTCTGGCCGCAATTGTCGAGCCACGAGACTTGCCGTCCAGCCAGAGCCGAAGTTCGCCTCAGGTTGACCACCGATTATGAATAAATATGAAGTCTCACTACATAAAAAGTTAGCTACTCTCCTTTGTGGCTTCGCGTCGTACCGCATCACTTCCTAGCCCTTTGCACTCGAGCGGCGCCGAATCGGTGCCCGGCTGATTTGAAGTCGCAACTCGAGCGGCGCTGCTACGACGCTATGGTCTTTTGTAATTCGATCTCATTATTTACGATGTGCGATAAGATACCTTTCTCGGAAGTACTTTCGTGGACTCGGCTCCGCTGTCATTGTGGCCAAATCTTACAACTTAGTTCAGTTAATCTCAGTGTAGCATTCGGTTGAAACAGTCTTCACAGCAAATCTAGCAATCTAAAAGTATTTGAGCCCTAAAAAATGGAGGAAGATCGCATCAGCTCGAGTTCGGACGAATTACTCGAGGTGGTGTCGATATCATGGTCAAGAAACCCAACGTGGTACTGAATTATATAAAATATATGGGTGGTGTTGATCTGGCGGACCAATATGCGTCAACATATTGCTTTTTGCGAAAATCGCTCAAATGGGGGCGTAAGCTTTTTTTTTTGGAGCATGGAAATTTGCCTCATCAATTCGTACATTTTGTACAAACAAGAAAAGATCAAGAAAGGGGAAAAGCCGCTGAGCCATCTGCGGTATGTCAAAATACTCGTGGAACAATTGAGAGGACCGTATCGCCAGCAACGACAGCAAGCATCTACGTCACATTCGGGTGAAATTCGACTTAACGGGAAGCTCCACATAATGCTAAAAGGGCCAAAAAGGGACTGCAAAGTTTGTTCTGACCGTAGCACGCCTGGAGGTAGGCGAGGAGTCACGTATTACTGCGATACGTGTCCTGAGAAACCTAGGATGCACCTAGGACACTGTTTTATAAAATATCACACCAAAACTAATTACAGAGTGTAATATGTAATAAAGTTTGTTGTTTTCAACATATAAATGAATAAACTTGTGAAATTTTATTACTTCGATACGCTTGTTTGCTTATAAATGCTTTTAAAGTACCTGTAAAAAGTATCCCTGATTTGGCCGAAACCGTCTCGAGCTGCTGGTTAGCGCAAGCGAAAAAGGCCTCGAGTGCAAAGGGCTAGTATAATTTGAGACTCCGGCGTCATTCCAGCATCCATCTCTGCAACTTTCATTTCGCGTAACAAGTTACACTTCCTACATCCATAGGCTCCTTCCGCACATCACTGCAGGCTGCCTGGTCTAGCAAGGGTCTAGCAAGCTGCCACCTTCGACACGCCGAGTGCACCGGTGCTCCCTTGACGCTAGTAGTAGCAGTAGCAGTAGTAGTAATAGTAGTCGCGCTACGAATTACGAAGCGGACCAACAGTTTCAAGCGCAAATAGGATCCAGGAAAGAGACGATAAAGTTCGACGTCGCGAGGACGCGAGTCGCTTGAACTTTGAAATCTCCCGATGCACAGGGCGCCTAACCTCCCCCACCATTTTCCTGTCAATCTACCCAGTGAGCTGGCTAGCGCGGAAGGCACTAGCGTTTCTGCGCGAGCCTTCGGAGTAAGAGGGAAGAAAGTAATATCGGCAACGGCGAGTTAATAATCGGAGAGGCGAGATCGAACGAAGTGCGGGAAATTTAAAACATAAAAGGACTAAAGACTTCTCGAGGATCGGAAGCAGAAAGAGAAATGCAGGCGTCGAACTTTCGATGAAGTCGAAGGATTCCGAGGGGTGGAAATAATCGGGCGAGTGAGTCTGCGATGGGATTTCCATGTGCCACGTGGACGTGGAATGCGTGGGCTGCAGGTGCAGCGAGAGAAATGCAAGCCCGTATGGGCTGCTGGCGAAATAATTGAGGCGCGAGGTGCCGAATTCCCAGGGCAATATATCAGGACTCTGGCTGACACTTTAAAGCAGGTCCTGGGACACGGACGATCGTAAAGTGTCTCTGGTTACCGAAAAATTGATTGCCGTTGCGTTTCGCGTGAATCTTTTGTCAAAACATGTATGGTAGGGCTACGTGAGAATCAACAGGGTCAGGGGTGAGGATGGGTAAGTGGGGGAAATAAAAAGAATAACAATAAGATCCATCTTTCATTGGCATGTAATAGTATATAAACATGTACCGAGTAAACAGAGAATTTGTGAAAAGGTAAAGAGGATTCGTGGATACGCAGGACGGGGGAAGAAAGTGAAGAAGGATTCGAGAAGAAACAGCCCGGATAATCGCAGCTTTCCGGATAAGGGAAAGAAGGGAAAGGAGGGAAAACCTGCTGGATCGTTTGACAGTGAAGTCGCAAGAGCTGCGATCGGAATGAATTGCGCCGATCCGTGTAAATCCTTACCTTTGCGAATGGCGGCAGGACTGGGGGTGGCCAGAACGAGCAATGCGAGGCCGAGTAAGATCCACCCCCAGACACGATTCCCGGCCGGGAGAGCACTCATCGTCATCCACCCCCCGCCCCCAGTGGACTGTCAATCCCACGACCTTCCTTGCAGCCACATTTGCACCGATCGACCTGCGACAAAAATACAATCATCACCTTCTTGTACAGCCTTCTCCGAGCCGTGCGGCTTCAGCTGTTCTGGGTCAAAGGGCCGCAGGATCTGAATACTCGACACCTGAGAGGCTGAGCGTATTTCCTGACAATGACTGTCTTGTCTTTACTGGAGACGCAGGAGCGCGGTGGTGAGCGAACCCCCCTCCCGCCCCC